CTACAGCTCTCATCTGTTGCGTGTAAACCTTTCCTGCGGGCCGTCCGCTGTCCTTAGAGATCCTCCAAGCTATAGCCCCGGAATTTGAGGCTGGGGGGCACGGGGATGGCGTTGCCCCCCAGGTGCCAGCTCCACAACGGGTGAGTTTTGGAGAGGGCCCAGGAGTTTTTGACCCCCAGGGAAGAGGCAGGACACAGGTCCCCATCTTCCCCCACGACCAGGGAGGGAATACAGGGGAAGTTGCCCATGAGGCTGAAGGAATTCCGAGGCGGGGTTGGCCCGGCGCTGCCGAGGCGTTTGCAATGAGTGTTTCCCTTTTTGGCATTCCTCCTCGGAGTCTTTTGTGGCCTCCCTTTAGAGGAGCTCTGTTGCCTTTCTGCCTCAGCGCCTCTGGCGAGGCGTCTGCGCTTGGCATTCCTTTCCGAGCCATTGCCCCTCAAAGCTTTGTTTGACAAGGTGCTGGGGCTCTCTGCTCTTTTGGAGCCGGGGGATTTGAGCTCTGCGGTTTTACAGGGCTCCGTCCTCCCTCCGTGCCGCAAACTTTTCCCGTCCAGGTTGAACCCTTTGGCGTAACACCACAACTTGGATTGCCGGATCAGGCGGTCAAAGTGCTCCCGCCGGGGTTCCCTCCCCGTCTCCCCGGGGGGGACCGGCGAGGGGCTCCCCGCCAGCTCCGGAGCCGGGGGCTGCGGGGCCGAGCCCGGGGCCGGCTCTCGGGAAGGCGCCGGCCCGGTTAAAGCTCCGCTTTGCCTCTCTGCCCGGTCACCGGGGCCTAACGAGGCTCTATTGTTCGAGGCATCTTTGTGCAAATCCTTCCCTTTGGCGCAGGGCTCCGCGTCCCCAAAGCCTCCCTCCTTTTGTTGCGGATCCCCCCCAGGGGTGCTGCTCCGGGAGGGAGGGGGGGAGGAGGAGGAGGAGGAGAAGGAGGAGGAGGAGGAGGAGGAAGGGGAGGCCTCCTGCTTTGCGTACAGCTCCGGCAGCGGCTGAGCCCCCGAGCTCAGGGCTGGAGCCGGGCTCAAACTTTCCAAAGTTGATGCTCGCAAAGTCCTGGCCCAGAGCTGCTGCGAGAGGAAGAGGAGGTCGGGGTCGGGGCGCAGCGCTTTGCCCA